AGTTCACTGATGGTATCTTTAATAGTATTAAATTTGCATATTGTGCATGGCAAAGGTGTATTGACATGTGGGTGATTTCTTATTGGTCGGGTATCAATCACCATATGTTCATTAGCATCTTGATAAGCAATTTCTTTGTGACTATGAACATTCTCATTTTCCATTGAAATCATGGGTTCATCTAATTCCATTACACTTTGTTCAACAATAACTGGTACATTTGATGATGTATTACAAAATGATTTGTCCACAATTTGCGAACAATTTTGGTCGACATCCATTTCTATATCATCATTGTTAAATTGTTTATTCACAACAACATTTTTTTCGATTTCTATTTGTTTAAATATAGTAACTTTTTCGACAAACTCGTTTAAGTTAAAATTGTGTTGATCATCGTTTGTAATTGAAAACAATCTTTTGTTGAAACTTGAAAAATATTTTTTATTGAAAACAATTTGATTTTGAAAATCTTTTTTAATGATATTCATAGGCAATCCCATAATTGTGGTTGTTCTGTTATTTAAATAATCAATGTAGTTTCTTTCAAAAATGTCATTTTTTTCAAATGTATTGTCTTTATGGTGTCTTGTTTTGTGAGACGAGAGTGCTTTAAACCATTTTTTACATTCCAAACAATAATAAAAAATTATCGATTCAATCTTTGTCTTAACTTTAGCCATCAATATATTATTACAAAAATTTTCAGGCTTAACAATAATCAATTCGTATGTATCGGTCATTTGTTTGAACAAGTTTTGTTCAAAATCATATTTAATCATTATTACCCAAAACAATTTTGAATTGTTTGTATTATTTTAATTTTAAAAATGTATATTAATGTATTAAAAATAAAAATTATTCAATGTAATATGATTTAAATGTTGATAATAATAATATATTAGTAAATTATGTATAACATATTTTGAGTTTTGAAATGGTTGTTATAATTATATAATTATAATTAATAAATAAAATGAATTGTTATTTAATATCCTTAATTATTGTGTTTAAAATAATTTTATAGACATTTTAATATAATTATTTCAAAAAATTCAAAATATATATTTTAATACTTGTAAAATACATTCCTATTATTAATATAATTATATACATATATGATTATTATAAATAATTGTTATATTAAATAATAATGTTTATCATCAATTGTATTTTTGTCAAAAAAAGAATCTTCAAAATCATAATAATGTTTCAAAAACAAATATATATTACTTATTTGCAAGTTTACAATAATTTTAAAGTTTATTTGTATTTTTCAAAAATCATTGAAATTTTTAAAGTCTTTTTCTGTTGTTTTTTGAATTGGATGTTTTTGTTTTTATATTAAACTATCTTGGCAATTTTTTTAATTTTGGTGTTTATTTTGTTTTGAGTTACTTTAATTTTATTTAAATTGTAATAATATTACGTTTTTGTCAACAAATCAAACCATATTATAAATCAATGTTTTTCTAATAATATAATTATTAGCTATCTTTTTTTAAGAAATATGTACAATATATTTTAATTGTATTATCATGTAATTAATGTTTATAATATATAAATTATTGATGATTTATATATTTATTGAAATTGTCTTATAAATAAAATATTTAAAAACAATCATCACAATTTTAAATATTTTTATATTCATTAAGTTTTATTGATTCCATCCAATTATTTAGTTTGGTAACAAACAATTAAATATATAATATAATTATGATAATTAATCATGTTTTATTTATTATTATTTTATTTACATTTTTATTTGTGACAAATATAAATTTCATTGAATAATAACACAATGAAATTGAATTTAAATTGAAATTAATTTACAATCAAAAACATCAATTTCTATGACTTTTAGTTTTTAATTTTTTTGAGTAAATTTAATAATAAATTATTTATTTTTTTTTTAATTCAAAAATTACATTTTTAATTTATTATTTTAATAATAAGTGAATTATTATTAATTTGGCAATTATATAAATTGTTTGAATTCAATTATTATTTATTATAATACATTTTTATTAATATAATAATTTAAATTGTTTTTTATTAATTATATTTTATTATTTATTGTTATTATTTGTTTGATTAACTTTGTATAGATTATGTTTACTATAATTTGATTTTGCACCCATATTGTTTTTTAAGAAATTTACTCGTGACCAAAAAACGAAAACAAGTATAAAACACAATTAAAATATAAACATTTTGTATTTTGTTTTGCCTTTAAACAACACATTTTTTTAAAAAATAGAAAGTCTTTAAAATATTTATCAATGTTTTTCATAACCCGATTTTTTGCTCAGTAATCAAAAAAATTATTTTTTCATAAAAATAATGGTATTTTTTACATTTAAATTGCCACAAAATTTGTTTTTTTCTTGTTAATTTTGAAAACCAGAATTGTGCCGACCCATGAAATATTCTCAACTAGTTTTTTGGGTTAAACCATTCAATGGTTATATTTTATGTTGATTTATAACTTAATTCAACTTTTTGTTGTTGTTTTTGTTATTGTTGAAAAATATGTTTTCCCTTTTGTCGTGGGTAAATAACATAGAAAAAAGTTGCACACTTATTTCAGAGTTCAGAGTTAGACAATTTTTTTTTGTTTGGCAAAAAATAAATTATAGGGAGGGAAATACTTGGCCAGGTCGTACAGAAACTATTAAGAATTGTTTTTTTAACTTTAAATTTACTAATAATATCATCACATTCTAAAAATATATAATTAAATGTATTAACTTATAATAGTTGTTTTATTAATTGATAATAAATTATTTTGAAAAACAACAAACTAGAAATAAACAATATATTATAGTACTGGTATTTTGGAGGTAAATCGTAAATGTAAAAAAGAAAAACACTATTTTTAATATTGTAATTGTGAACCCGATTTTTATTTAAAATAAAAAAAGATGCGACTCATTATAAATAGCCAAATAAGTTGAAGCAATGATTTTCGAAATGTTTTAACAATCAAAATAACATTGCGTTTATAAAAATAGAATTGCTTAACACTTAATTAGCTTTTCTCGATACGTGTTCAAACAGCACTACGTTGATTTTCAAGGCAGTATTGGAGCTTTTGTTACACGTGATCTTTTTCTTATCTATGTTGTCTGTATTTCCGCGCGTTAAAACATGTATAAAGAAAATATGCTTGTGACCTATGCACACGTTAGACATCTCTGATTTCCTACAATTTACGTTCTACAACTTCGAATCCAGATTTATTAATATCGCTAATATTGTGACACTTTCGTTGCTTATTGTTTCACCATTGTTGTTGTGATAACTCCAAAGTTGTTGAGCAAGTACCTTTAAAGCAGACTTGTGCACCGACACTTTTTTGTTTGTGAATAGAGTTTACAACAAAATTAAACTATATGTAAATCAATTTTTACTATATTATTTCTATATTTTTTTCAGTTATTTGAGTATGAAAATCGACCATTTATTCTTGAATTGTGAACTTTTTTCTTGTAAAGTACGTGGCAAAGACAGGCAGCAGCAAAAACAACCAATTAATTCGATAATTTTTTATTTTTTCATGTAACAATTTTATCAATAATTGTTTGAACAAAAATATAACATATTATCAATCAACAAAAAAACGGGAAATTTGAAAATAAGATATTATTGTGGTCAATAAGCAACAATAAATGAAATTTAAAAAAGATCTTTTATTCAAAGACAAACTATAATATATTTCAAATTATCAATATTCTAAATTTTTAATAAAAAATAGTTTTAAATAACTGTTTTTTATTATTTTTTATTAATAAACAAAAACAAATTTAATTTGTTTTTTTGATAAAATAAATTATATTCTATTAAATAAATTACTTTAAAATGTATTTCAATGTAGATTTAATTATTTTGTCTTCTAAGCTACGGTCTGTTGAATGTAATAGGTGTGAAAGCTCAAAGTGTGCATGCAAATTTTTATTTTTTCACCAGTTTTATATGATATAACCAATGTTGATGTATACAGTCTTAGTAAAAAAAAATTATAACTACTAATTAGTCTCATTTGACTATGTTCCCAAAATGGTTTTAGGTACATTGAAAGTCAAATTAGTAGTTTGCTTAGTGTGCAATAAAATTGCCAATAAACATTCGAATTTGCTGTTTGCTGTATTTGTAAAATACTGTAATTAATTTTTATCTAAAAATGACACCTTTCCTCTAAACACAAGTTCTTCGAAATGACGGTTCTGAACCCCAAGTTGACATTGCTTTTTGAGTTGTTTAAAGTTGCCAGTGATGTTTGTCATTATCATAAGTGCCTAAAATTTTGTGTATTATTCAGACGCGAAGACTGAACCCGATAATTTAAAACATGGACAGTCTCTTGTATTGATATTGTATTTACTCTTTTAAGCATTGATTTGAACACTTCTTTATTGATGGGATCAGCAAAGACACATGTTGTACTTATTTTACAAGCGTAATTGGATTTTTTGACTCCGGTTGGATAGATTATCCACATCTACCCACCACATCCCAAGTCTGTGTGGGCAGTTTTGAACTTATCTTCAATTTATGGCGCACACAAAAGCCGCAGTCACACCAAATATCACTGTTTTGACTGGATTTTTTATATTGTATTTATAAAAAGTGATTAAATCGACATTATCAGCTTCAATCACAGAAATGTCTTTGAATTCAAAACTCTTTTCAATTTTGATAGTTGCGTCTCTGAAATTTAACTTGGCGCTTCCAATGATTAGATTTACTTGTTTGGGTTGCAGCCATTTTGACATCAAGCATGTTGACTGTAACGATGGTGTCTGCACCTCTGATCGACAACTTTTTACCAATATAAATTCAAATGCACCATTATTTGAAGTTTCAATGAAAGTGTCATAGTTGCATTTTAAAGTGGATACGACACCGTTTTTCATAGTGATCTTTTCAATTGTTGATGGGGTGTTGAGCATAAGTGTTGTTGTTTTTGTTATGTCAATCTTAGCAATATTCGTGTTTTACTCAGAATTTATTGTCACAACACCACCATTCAATGTGAGTGTTAAATAAATGACAAGCACTTTGAGATTCAAAGCAAAGTTTCCAGTGAGTTCCATTTTAGTAAATCTATATTCGTCTTTTATTGCCATGACTGTGACTGGGGTGGCAGAGGTGGTTTCAATTCGAATGAAACAATTCCCATCATTCTCCGAAATGTCATTGTAACACGGGCATACCTGGTCAAGGTCAAACAAATACACTTCTTTATCGAGATCTACAGAATCCTTCAAATAAATTAAGTTGACATTCCATGTCTTTATACTTACATGTAAGAGATGCACAATTGAATGACTGAACATGTGAGTTATACAGAAGAGCTCTCTGTGAGCACTTGTTTTTAATTTGTGTTGGCAAATAGCATTAATACACATGTTCTGATGTGCTCATTGCAATGACCATTGATGTGTTGCTGTTGTAGTATCTTGAACAGACATAATTCCCTTAACTACAAACAGTGAAAATAAATCTTTGTTGGTGAGTTGATCATTGTTATAACATTATAGCGTAGACATATTAAACTTTGCTGTCTCAGTGTATGTTTTTCCGGTTGACACCTCTACCTTACTTTTAGGATTTATCGAAAAGTTTTAAATTTTACTACATCGTTTGTTTCAAAAGTCGGGTATCTCACAACAGAGTTCACAAATGTAACTGAAACAATTTCTAAATCAACAGTTAAACCAGTCAGATCAAAAATAATATTGTTCAAAGTAAGTGAATAATAGTTTGGAGTTGTATATTTTTTACTGTTTAAGTGGTTGATGTAGTGCTCGATGTAATGACGATGTTCTGTCTGTTCGACGAACTCAATTCGAAAAAGACAACATTTTTTTGTACAGTGATTCCGTCTCGATACACTTACTTATTTTTTATCAGCAAATAATGTAAAATTACTGTCATCATTTGTGAGTGTATTTGTACAACTTGTCTTGTAAGTCGTGCTATCAAAATAAACTGTTGTTGTATTTATCACCAACTTCACATTCACTACATTTTTTGAGTGTTATCAGTTAGAGTCACTATATTGTATGAACTGACCCATTCATTTTACAAATTGAGTGTCCAAAACTGAGCAGCGTCATAAACAGTTTTTACGGTTGTGCCACTCACAGAAAAAGTTATTAAAGACGAATCTTTAAATGATGTAATGAGAGTGGGGTTGAGTGTCGACTTGGTATTTCCTACAACATTTATTGTATTTATGTAATCAATTTTCTTATCACAAAAACTGTTTGGTTCCGGTTATATTGGTTGTCTTTAGTTGTGGAAAGAAGATTCAAGGTACTTAAAAAAGTTTTGATAGCAACTGCTGTTTGATCGTCACAGAAAGTTTAATCAATTAAGATTATTATTTGAGTGTATTCACTTGTCAACAATGAACCATTGTAATGTGCAATTATAATACATTACTGGATTTCACATTTTTAATCGCAGAAGTGATGTAAAAACTTTATTGAACTTTGAGTTTGAAGCACTCTATTTGTTGATGGCGATTTGTTTTTTTGGTCGAAGACAATCTATTTTCAAAGTTACATCACTTGCCTTAGTGTTAATCGTATCAATTTTGATGTTTGTAGATACAATGACTGTATTTGTTTGTTGGTAAATTCAAGTACAAGGTGCTCTTAGTAGATGACATATACACATTACAAATTCATCTTTGTAACTTGCTTCCAAAGTGTTTATTGACTTCGACCATGCAAGTTATTCCCAAGTTTGTGGGAACAATTTTAAAAATGTTATAATACTGATAGTAAAAGAATGTAAAGTCGAATTGAGTAACTTTAATTTTATAATTCTTTGAAGTAATTGCAATTGACTCGGTGCTACACATAAAAGAGTCTGAAGTTCTCATTAACTCTTTTATAACTTCATACTTTAATATCACAACAAATTTCTTTGCCGTGAAGAGTTGATCAATTGTAATTGTTGAGGTTTTTGAACCAAAAATCGCTTAAAAAAACAAATCACCCGAGTTGCCAAGGAACCCAAATGTTTGTAATGGTAAAATGTAAATATTAAAATATTTTTATTTGCTGATACTTTCAAATGGAAAAAGACGTTAATAACATTGACATGTGTAATATTAACTATTGTATATTTTATGTCCGTAAAACGGGTTTCCTTAGGGCCAATCTCTCTTTCACGTCGATACGTATTTGGCGGGCTGTATTTTTTCTGTTTGGCTTTGACACTCTTTTTAAAAGAGAAAAAGATCTTTCTACTGAACAGGTAGTAACCGCGATTATATTGAGTTCCATGCTAATTTTTATTAATTGTGAAACTCCATCTTTTGATTTCATCTTTTTTAATACATTTGGTAACGTTAAATAATTCACTGGACACATTCCAATAAATTTGTTTAAAGTTTCATCCTTTGATTCCCTATAAAATTTTCACTGTTTAAATATTTCAATTTGTTGGTTTTCCAAAGTCATTTCACTTAAAGAAGAAGCGCAATCCGAGTTCATCTATGAATCCGAGAAATGCCCACTTGGTTCGCTATTATTAATGATATCTTGTTGTTCATACGTACAACGAATGTTGGGAGATTTGTAAGGTTCAATGATTGTTTGTTTAATTCGATTTATTACTTCTTGATTGTTAAGTTCCCAATCAACCATCCAATGTGCACATTCGTTGTAGTGTTTGAAATCATTGATACATTCTTCATTAATATCCAACATGTACAGCTTCGTTTAGGTCATCAGATTTAGATTTATTACTCTTTTTGGATTTCTGCAAAGTCGCCATAAGTATCAATAACAAGGTCTTCTTCCTTGAGAAAGTGCTCGTTAAATATTTCAAAACGTGTGGATTTTCGTAGCGGGTTCGCAAATCTGAATACAAGAGCTTGAACAAGACGCGTCACGAGTTTTTTTGCAAATTACCCTAAGAGTTTCAATGTCATCTTTGTTGTTTTCTCTGACAAATAACATTTTTTTTTCAAAAAGTTGTTTTTTGTGTCAGAAATATTTGCTTTTATATTTATAAAATACTTGATTGTTTGGCAAATGTGTTGATAAGCAACTGGAAATGAAACACCCCTTCCTTGAAGCCATTGACTCAACAATTTCATTGGAGCAAATAGATAATCAAGAAAATAAAGCGCACTGACAAACAACCCACTATCCAAAGAAATATCATTAAAATAGTTTTCATCGACTTCTTTTAATTCGAGATGATAATTTTGAGAGTTTAAAAAATTTCGATAATTTTCAAAGTTTTCAAATATCGCCGATGTGACAAACGATGTAAAAAGAAAACGAGTTGCACTACTACTTGGTATTTTTGTTGAACACGAACTCGTCTTATTCTTTAGGTTGTATGCTACCCATGCATTTCTAAAATGAGCATTTGTGATATCATCTAAGAACTGTTTCATGACACATCCTTCGTTTTTTCAACCACCTTTTCACACGCTTTTGAAAGTCGATGGTCAAAACAATAATTTCTTTTAAATTTAATCCTGTGTTCAAGAGGTACCAATCTTTTAAATAAATACCATATTTGCTTTGCAAGTAGTCCCATCCAACGAAATGCCTCTCAATTGTTGAACACTTAGTTTTACGTGGTTCAATGAGCGCAGTATCCATTCTACCCATGATTTGGCGTCGCCTTCGCCATAATAATTGCCGATTTTTATTTTTATTTCGGATGTTGTTGTATAATCAGAGCACATCCTGGCGTACAAAGAATAATGTGTTTCTCCACAACACGTCTGCGAGTCGGCTATTAAATGAAATGGGGTTTTAAGTAAACCATAATTTTCGAGTCTTTTTTGGTTTAATTTGTGTATCAATTTCATTTTTCTCTCAATCGTTTTTGCGCAAATTGCCAATTCTATTTTAGTCCCGAAAGTGATGATCTTGATGATGTCTAAAATACGTGTTATTTCATTTGTGGAGCAATCTTCAATGGCAAACAATATTGAAAGAAGAATAACTATGAATTTTTTCCTCTCAACTACTTGCGTTTGATGATTCGAACCCGCTCGTTTTATTACTGCACTATCGATTTGTTTATATATTATTTCGATTGTGTCATTTCCTTTATTATTTGTATTTTCCAAAATTTCCATTAAAATGGACATTTGTTCCAAATCACTTTTTTCGTTTTTAAACTGAAGTTTGGAACTAATTTTAGTGTCGTCTTCACTATCATCATCATCTTCCCAGTTCTCTTTCTCGTTTACCATACAAGTGGTGGTAGACTCATGAATTCCAATTGAATTGGAATGGTGTTCTAATGAACATTTAATTGTGGACATAATTGTTTCTGCGTTCGACATTATTTTATGCACGTTGGGGTCTTTTTCTTCGTTTGTTTCACTGAACTCACTGTCTTCATATTCACTCGCCTCTTGTTCTCCATCACTTTGATCTAAACTTTTTTCTATACTATTTTCGAATGGGTTTTGTTGTATTTCAAAGTCAAAATGTGCCAACGACTGGCCAATTGTAATAGACCTTTCACAGTTTTGTTTTGGCTCATTTTGGTCGACAATTACACACGTATCTTGTTGTTCTGCATTAAATCTGGACTCGGTTGGTGCTATACTTTTTGCAAATGCCGATATTACTGTCGTTTCGCCTTGTGATGTAAACCTACCAAATGTTTGTGTAGATGTGGTTGGGGTTGTTTGTTGATGTTCTTGATGATTACACAACGGTATAAGTAAGTTCTCGTTTACCACATTTGGAATATCAGAGATGTTAGTACTCACGCGTTGTGTTAAATTCCCACAAATTAATGATTCGTTGTGCTCACTGAAATATTCCATATTTGGTTGAACATGTTCAACAAATAGTTCGGTTGATATATTTCTCAAATCGGCATTTAATTGCTGGATTTTTTCAGCTTTGTTTGTTAATGTAATCCCTGTGTTTTTGATCGTTTGTTCGATTCTGTCTTTTTCATACTTATTTGCATTTCGTTTAGACTTGAACCCAGATAAAAGAAAACACTTCAAAGCCAAATAGTTCAAAATGTTGAAATGCTTTAAAGCAACTTCGTAAAGTGGTTGTTGCATTGTACTCCACCTGGACAAGTCTTTAACAACAACTCCTTTGTAGTGGTATTGGGGAGTATCACCTGGAAATTTTCGACAGAAAACACAATAGTTTTTGTTTTTTTTTACAAAAATGTCGGGTTCATCTTCGATAAATGGAATTAACTCCAGTTTTTTCCAAACGAAAGACAGCGTCTTTGAATTCTTTTTTCTTTTGAAAGACGTGTTTTAGGCATCAATTATTATCATTTTTAGTTGGTTTTATAATGAATTTAAATATATATTATATTTTTAGAAGGGGTTTTTAATAACTAAAACAATAATTATCTAAATTATACAATTTTGAAATTTTCAAAATAATCAAATAATTATTAAAATTAAAGATTGAGTGGCTTGGTGATATAGAAATTTTTAAATTATTTATTCTTTTTTTATTAATTATAAATATTCACTCATTTTTTTAAAATAATACTTTTAAAAGTAAATAACACAATAAAAAAATAAAAAAGTAAATTGACAAAGTTACAGAATTACAATTGTATCATCAAAAAAATTTATCATCAAGATTACCTTTTTTAATTCTAAAGCAACCATAGACATTGAGGTTATACTCTATTGCACTATTGACAATTTGGTTGTATCGTTTATGTTGCGTTCACAAAATCCACATATCTCGAGTGTGTATTCTCAACACTTCTTTATCTACAACTGAAAATGTTGCATTGA